CCCTGCAAAGTCTCTTGTGGGAAAAATCCACATTCTACAGAGAATCCCCTTCCCTCTTTGTTTTCCTTCCCTCCTTTCCAGATCCAGGAGATAATCAACTAAGAGCCACAGGCCATAGTCTCTCATATTTGGCTAAGAATCAATCTCTTGGCCAGGCATGATGGCTCGCGCCTGTAATTCCAGCACTTTGGGAGGCTGAGGCAGGCAGATCATGAGGTCAGGATGTCGAGGCCATCCTGGCCAACATGGTGAAATCCCATCTCTACTAAAAATACAAAAATTAGCCAGGTGTGGTGGTGCGCGCCTGTAGTCCCAACTACGCAGGAGGCTGAGGCAGGAGAATCACTTGAACCCAGGAAGCAGAGGCTGCAGTGAGCCAAGATCATGTCATTGCACTCCAGCCTGGCAACAGAGTAAGACTCCGTTTTAAATAATAATAATAATAATAAATAAAAGTAAAATAAATCTCTTAAAATATTTTACAGAGTTTGACTCTTTTGGTCAATGGGGTAGCACAGTTCCTCTCCTTTTAAGTCCTGTCAATCACAGGGATTAACATGGCAATCAGACCAGAGCTTTCACCACGGGATCACTGCCTGGAAGAAGCACGTTAAATGGAAGAAAGCATATAGATTAAAACTCAAAATGGGCTGGTCATGGGGGCTTATGCTTATAATCCCAGCACTTTGAGAGGTTGAGGCGAGAGGTTTGCTTGAGCCCAGAAGTTTGAGACCAGCTTGGGCAACACGGCAAAACCCTGTTTCTTCAAAAAGTACAAAAAGTAGCCAGGTGTGGTGGCGCATGCCTGCAGCCCCAGCCACTTGGGAGGCTGAGGTGGAAGGATGGATTGAGCTGGGGGAGGTCAAGAGAGCAGTGAGCTGAGATCACACTACTGCACTCCAGCCTGAGTGACAGAGCAAGACCCTATCTCAGAGGGAAAAAACAAACCTGAAAATGGAGCACTTCTACATGTATTTTTAAAATATATATATTTTTTGAGACAGAATCTTGCTCTATCACCCAGGCTAGAGGGCAGTGGCGTGATCTCAGCTCACTGCAATCTCTACCTCCTGGGTTCAAGCGATTCTCCTGCCTCAGGCTCCTGAGTAGCTGGGACTACAGGTGTCCACCACCATGCCTGGTTTATTTTTTGCATTTTTAGTAGAGACAGGGTTTCACCACGTTGGCCACGCTGGTCTCAAACTCCTGACCTTAGGTGGTCCACCCACTTAGGCCCCTCAAAGTGACAGGATTACAGGCGTGAGCCACCACGCCCAGCCACTTCTATATGTATTGAAATTAAAAGTTGACTACACTATACTACATGGTGGAATAACAAGGTAAGTTATCTGAAAGAGTTGAAATCAAGTCTCTTGCAGCATTATTTACAAGAGCCAGAATGTGGAAACAACCTAAATGTCCATGTATCAACGAAAATGACAAAGAAAATGCAGTCTATGCATACAATGAATTGTTAGCCTGAAAGAAAAGGAAGGAAATCTTGTCATATGCTACAATATGGACGCACCTGGAGGACGTTATGCTAAATGAAATAAGCCAGACAGGGGCAAATACAGCATTATTCCACATATAGGGGGTTTCTAAAAATAGTCAAACTCATAGAAGCAGAGAAAAGAATGGTGGTTGCCAGGGCCTGGAGGGGAGGTGGGGAGGAGGCACTGGAGGGGTGCTGTTCGAGGAGGATAAAGTTTCAGTTGTGAAAATGAATCGTTTCAGAGACTTGCTGTGCAATATTGTGCCTCTGGGTAGCAATAAGGGATGGTGTACTTCATGTGTTAAGGGTGTGGATCATTTAGGCCTTTTTTTCCCTGCTATAAAGCAATACCTGAGGCCAGGCATGGTGCCTCATGCCTGTAATCCCAGCACTTGGGAGGCCGAGGAGGGCAGATCATCTAAGGTCAGGCGTTCGAGACCAGCCTGGCCAACATGGTGAAACCCCATCTCTACCAAAAATACAAAAATTAGCTGGGCGTGGTGGTGGGCACCTATAATCCCAGCTACTTGGGAGGCTGAGGCAGGACAATCATTTGAACCTGGGAGGTGGAGGTTGTAGTGAACCAAGATTGTGCCACTGCCCTCCAGCCTGGGTGACAGAGTGAGACTCCATCTTAAAAAGGAAAAAAAAGTGCATTTAAAATGACAGTTTTAAATGATCAGATCTTAAGAGAACTCACTCACTGTCGTGAGGACAGTAGCAAGGGGATGGTACTAAGCCATTCATGAGAAATCTGGCCCCCAGCATGACCCAGTCACCTCCCACCAGGCCCCACCTCCAACTCTGGGGATTACAGCTGAATATGAGATTTGGGTGTGGACACAGATCCAAACCATAGCATGTTCTTACCTTGAACAAAGTAAATTACAAAGGAGTAGACACGATCCACTGCCATGAGTGTTTATGAGATTGTACTGCACCTCCATCCACCCATCCACAGCAACTGACACGAAACTTTTGACTGTGATCATCTCTAGTGAGTGAAAGTTAAGAGTTTATTAAAGTGGGGATGCCATGTTTACTTCCCACGTGAGGTGCACCTGTTGTCTTGTTTGGGGTTTCATATAAGGAAAAAAATTTTTTTTGAGATAGAGTCTCACTCTGTCGCTCAGGCTGGAGTGCAGTGGCACGATCTCGGCTCACTGCAACCTCCACCTCCCGGGTTCAAGCGATTCTCCTGCCTCAGCCTCCTGAGTAGCTGGGACTACAGGTGCCCACCACCACACTCGGCTGATTTTTGGTAAAGATGGGATTTAGCCATGTTGGCCAGGCTGGTCTCAAACGCCTGTAGTTCCAGCTACTCAGGAGCCTGAGGCAGGAGAATCGCTTGAACCCAGGAGGTAGAGATTGCAGTGAGCTCACGCCACTGCCCTTTAGCCTGGGTGACAGAGCAAGATTCTGTCTCAAAAAATGGAGGTAGGCACGTGCCTGCTTCACTCTGTTTTCTCCAGATTAACTCTCATTGCTCTGCTGTGCTGCACATGCGTCAGACAGGCCACAAATGTCCTCTCCTTCCTGCAAGCCACAAGAAGAGAGTGACCAGCTGCCCTCCATCCTCATTCCAGACTCCTGGGAGAGAGAATGGGCTTGGCCCAGGTCTGATCAGGTGTAATCCTGGTCTCATAAGCGGTAGCCCAGGTACAGGGTCCACAGCAAAAACACCCGCTGGGGCTGCAGGGCATGGGCAGGCAGATATGCCCACATCAGGTACCACTGCGCCTCTGGTACCAGTGGACTTCCCCCTGCCAGGGAGCAGGGAAGGGCATGAACACACAGAGGCAGACAAGTAAGGGTGGGGCCCTGGGAGCTGAGTGACAGCTTATGATGAAAGGTTGTAAAGGAGCTACCTGAATGGTGACAGCGACAGAGGCGAGGTGTTCTCCTGTAAGCCAATGTTAATGAGACCTCCGGGCTGACCTCGAGCACTGAGGCGGATCTGGAAATTAACAAGATGTTTGCCCTCCAGCCACAAAAGTGGGGCTCCCTGGCCCAGAAAGCCCCAGACCACCGCCGCGGGGGCTGCAACTGGATGTGAATCCCTCCAGTGGGGCCGCCTACTAGGCCGCAGCCGAAGGCCCCCGTAGGAGAGTGTCCTGAGTCCCCGCATCCTCCCGTGCGCACGGCGCTTCCACGGTGGCGGGAAGAGCGGGCTCGCGTGGCTTCCCAGGGAGCGATCGACAACTCTGAGCCTGTTGGCCCGGCTCCGGCCCCTGACAGCCCCAGGGGCACCGTCCCATGTCTGCGTCTGCGGTGGAGCTCACCCCGGGCGCCCGCGGGAGGGGGCGGGGACCAGCGCTGGCGACAGTGGTCCCAGCGGCGCTCCTACAGGTGCAGGCGTCCTGCAGCTGGCCCCGGGGGGAAAGCAGGGACCCCGCGAGCCCGGATGCCCCCTGCCCTCACGGCAACCCGAGGGCGACAGTGGGAGCATCTGCCCGCACCCATGATCAGGCGGAGTGCGGGGACCGTGGTGAGGGCCTGGGTCCTGTTCTCCCTCTCCCACTCACCACATGCAGCCATAGAAACGCTATTTGACTTCGCTCAGGCCCCATTTCCTCTTCTAGAGATTAAAAACAGCACTGACCGCTGGGCGCTGGCTCACGCCTGTAATCACAGCACTTTGGGAGGCCGAGGTGGGAGGATCACCTGAGGTCAGGAGTTCCAGACCAGCCTGCCCAACATGGCAAAACCCTGTCTCTACTAAAAATACAAAAAATTAGCCGGGCATGGTGGCAGATGCCTGTAATCCCAGCTACTCGGGAGGCGGAGGCGGGAGAATCGCTTGAACCCGGGAGGTGGAGGTTGTGGTGAGCCAAGATCCCGCCACACCACTGCACTCCAGGCTGAGCAACAAGAGCGAAACTCTGTCTAAAAAAAAAAAAAAAAAAAAAAACAAAACCCAAAAAACCCAGCTCTGATCTCACAGCAGTGAGCTGGAAGAGATGGGTCATGACACTTAGGGAGCATTTGGAAGGCCCCATGCCCTGTGCCCAGTCTTTGTAGGCATCAACTCATTTCCCCTCACAGCAGCCCTAGGAGGGTTTGTCTTACTTTACAAGGACCCAGACAGGTTTAGTAACTTGCCCAAGGTCACACAGCAGCACGCGGAGCCTCTGGCTGGAAGGGCCCTGCTCAAGGCACTGTATTCGCCTGGCTTAGCACAAAGCGGTTGCAGCTGCCCTGAGGAGAGCTGGCTGGTGGAGGAGGAGGAGGAGTCATGGTGCAGGCAACCCCCGAGAGCAGGCTGTCCACGCAGACCTCTGCCTGGACTAAGGCATTTATTATCACTGAATAAATGATGTAATCACTAAGGATTTACCTCTGAGGGTTGGGACTCCAAGGACGCACCATGCGTTGGTGCTGGAGCCACGACTTGTCCTAGGTCCGACTCCAGAGACCCAGCCTGTACTCTACTTTCTCACCATTCTGGGCTTCACCTGTCCTGTGTCCCCAGGCCCTTACATAAGGCCAGCTTCCAGCCACTTCACCTTCAGGATCCAGGAGACGGTACCCAGCATTCTTTATTGGCTTTTTAGGGGAGCTTTCCAGAGGTGGGGGGTAGGGGATGAACTCATTTCCCTGGGGGGCACTCCTGGCTCCGAACCCGTCAGGGGATTTTCTTGGGCAGGGGATTGATGATCCCGCTCTCGATGTATTCGAAGACTGTGTATGGGTCCTGGTCCCCATTGAGGGTGATGGCCGACTCGTACAGCTGCTCCAAGTCAGCCGCGTTCCTGTAGAACAGATCCATTTTCAGCTTGACCCGCTCTTCAGAGTCCTTCGGGTTCTGCAGGAGACGAGCCTGGATCTCCATGGTGGGAGGTGGCTTGTACATGAGGTGGTACCTGCAAGGGAGGAAGGAAAGCAGGTGACCCATGGCCTGGCCCCAAGGCAGGGGAGAAAGCGACCCTCTACTTTTTTTTTTTGAGATGGAGTTTCACTCTTGTTGCCCAAGCTGGAGTGCAATGGCATGATCTCGGCTCACTGCAACCTTTATATCCCAGGTTTAAGCGATTCTCCTGCCTCGGCCTCCTGAGTTGCTGGGATTACAGGCATGCACCCCCACACTTGGCTAATTTTTTGTATTTTTAGTAGAAACAGGGTTTCACCATGTTAGCCAGGCTGGTCTTGAACTCTGGACTTTAGGTGATCTGCCCACCTTGGCCTCCCAAAGTGCTGGGATTACAGGTGTGAGCCACCACACCCGGCCCAACCCTCTATTCTATTGTGGACCAATTTAGGGTGTCCTGGCCACCACTGCCACCCAACATTTGTGTGCACACAAATCAGGTCCACATTTTAGAAAAATCCCTGCATTTCCTTCCTGCCTCACCCCACCCCACCCCACTCCTGAGTCCCTACCAAGAAATGTGACCCTGATTGTCAGAGGAGATGGCAACACCTGCCTCAGTGACTGTGGGGTTTTCCATCCCATTTCAACATGAATGCAGTGATGGTACCTGGTCAGACTGCAGAATCAAACTCAGAATCTACCTCCTGTAACTATGAGAAGCCTCAAAGGCAATTTGTGCCCATGGGGATGTGTTCATACAGCCACCACCGCTGGGATGTATCATGGCTGGAGGAAAGGGCAGTGGAACGTACAGGGGACGCCCATCCAAGGCTGTTGTTTCGCATGCTGGGATTAAGCTGTCGACCCCAGGACAGAGTGGGTGAACATTTCACCAATGTGTTGCTTTAGAGCCTTAGACACAAATTTCCTGGTTAATTCTTCCAGGCAAAGAGGGTCAACAGATACTGCGCAGAACAGTCAGCTGGACAAATTCCATTTCTATAATCGTCCTTCAGCGGTCACCAGTGTCATCGTGGCAATGGTTCCACCATGGCATTGGTCAGTCAGTTGGGTCTGGCCCCTGGCAGCCCGCAGATTGCCAACCACCAGGAACACAGCACAAACCTTTCCCCCGTGACTGGATCAGTTCTTCTCAGAGTCAGCCGCTCCATGATGGACTCAAACGGCACATTCAGGAAAAACACCCTATAAGGAAATAAACAATATTAATGGTGGTTTTTATTTCCTGTATTTTATGACGCTTCAACATCCTGGGGCCTTGCTAATCCTGGAGAGACTGTTCCTCCCAGGGACTAACTCCTAGAGCCAGCAAGCAACATGCTTGCAAACCCAACCTCTCCAGAGCCTGTTTACCCAACCGCCTCCTTCATCTGACTCTCACACCCAAACCAGTATTTTCCCTGCCCTAAATCACCCCAGGGCTGGGTGCCAGGCAACTAGAGACCATCCCTGCAGGCCAGAGCCTGCCAAAATTAGTCAAACTTTGCGGTCCTATGCTCACCGTGACTTGTCTGCACCCTGGGACATGCTCTCCCCTCACTCCTGGTGCCTCCTGACCGACCCTGGGGCCTCCCCAGGTGGCCCTGCAAGGCGTGGCGTGCCCCCCTTTTCTTGGGAGGTGCGAGTAATAAAGTCTTCTTTCGATGACATCAGCCTCTCTGTATCATCACCTGCTTACCTCTATATATTACATTTTTGGTGCAATTAAGACAAGAACAAGCACATGGTCATGCGGCACAAACCCCAGGCTGGACTCTCATCACCCCAGACGAGGGGGGCATCATTTCTCACGTGTGGGGGGAGCCACTGGGAGCCATTGCTCAGGGCTCTGGGATACCGCACTTGGAGGTCACCAGGGAGAGATGCGGGACAGAAGGGCCCCCCTCAAGGATGCGCTCAGCTCCCCTGATTCAGGACAGCTCTCAGCCTCCATCACTACTGGGGGTGGGACACCCTGGAGGAGGGGTCATTGTTTGGATGAGCTTCAGGGGAACATGTTCTCTAGAGCCACACAGACGTGCATTAGACTCTCCCCTCCACTATGGACTTGCTGCATGAGCTTGAGCCACTGACCCCAAGACTCAGACTCAGTTTCCTCACTATAAAATGGAGCTAATAGTTCCCTAGTGTTGAAGATTTAATGAGATAAAGTGCGTGACAAGCTTAGTGTGAGGTCGGCACGGACTCAGTGCTGTTATAATTTAATCACCATTCCTGGATACCCTTCCTGGAACTTCAGGTTCCCTGACTGCCCCTGTCCTCCTTGGAGAGGTGGGATTGGTTGTTCTCAGCTTTCTCACTTTGTCTTTCTCAAAGGAACCCTGGACCCAAAGGAGCAGGGCACTCCAAGACAACAAGCCCAAATCAGAACCCAGCAGAAGAGATGAATCACAACTCTCAGACTGGGAGCACCAGGGAATTCATCTCTCAAACCCCTAGTTCCAATGGTTTAATCCCCACTCCCCTTCTTAGGGCAATGGAACACTTACTTTATCTAAAAACTTTTTTTTCTTTTTGAGGCACGGTCTCACGTTGCTGCTCAGGTTGGGGTGCAGTGGCGCAATCACGGCTCACTGCAGTCTTGACCTCCCAGCCTCAATCGATCTGCCATCTCAGCATTCTGGGTAGCTGGGACTACAGGTGCGCACCACCACACCCAGCTATGTTTTTTTTTAGAGGCGAGGTGGGGGATGGGGGTCTCACTATGTTGCCCAGGCTGGTCTTGAACTCCTGGGCTCAAGAAATTTGCCTTCTTCAGCCTCTCAAAGTGCTGGGTTTACAGGCATGAGCCACCACATCCGGCCTATATAAAACCTTAGGAGAGTGATTCTCCACTGGGGTGACTTTGTCCCCCAGAAACTATCTGGCAAAATGTCTGGAGACATTTTTTGTTTTACCAGCTGGATGGCACCTTACAAGGTACAGGACAGCACCCATCTCAAAGAATGATCTTGCCCCAAATCATGGCTGAGAAGCTCTGCCTGGGACTGTGTGTGAACGAAGGGAATGAATGACAAGAGGCGCAGCTGCTTTGGCCGGGAGAGGTGGGGCTGGGGAAGAGCCAGGACCCAGCAGCTCCCACCCACAGAGCTAAGCCAGGTCTCCTAGCACGAAACCATCTTGGTTCATTTTTAGAAAATAACTTCTGGAATATTCCATGGCTCACTTGCTATTTGCTCGTTTGTCCTTGAATTCGTTTATACATATATTTATCAAGTGCTGGCTGTGTGTCAGGCACAGTAGGAAGCTCCAGTGTTTACCAGCTCACTGCATGGAATTCAGGGACTACATTTAATAGAGTCTCCTCACTGATGACATTGACAGGGTCCTATGACCAGCCTGTGCAGTGTCCACTGGGGCCAAAGTTGGTGACAACATCAGTGACGAGAAAAAAACATCAGTGACAGGTCGGGTGCAGTGGCTCATGCCTGTAATCCCAGCACTTTGGGAGGCCAAGGCGGGTAGATCACCTGAGGTCAGGAGTTCAAGACCAGCCTGGCAAACATGGTGAAACCCCATCTCTACTAAAAATACAAAAATCATCTGGGCTTGGTGGCGGGCCCTGTCATCCCAGCTACTTGGGAGGCTGAGGAAGGAGAATTGCTTGAACCTGGGAGATGGAGGTTGCAGTGAGCCAAGACTGCACCACTGCACTATAGCCTTGGCAGAGCAAATACAGCCAACAGAGCAAAACTCTGGCTCAAAAAAACAAAAAACAACACAAAAAGAAAACAAACAAACAAAAAAAAACATCAGTGACAACAAACACTCCCTGTGTACCCAAAGCCTTGTGTTCATTTCACTTTCAAGAAAGTAAACTCAGGCCAGAAGCACCTCTACGTGTGAGGAAGACACACAAATGAGACCTCCCTCCTTCCCTCCTAGGGCGGGAGGCTTTTCGGTTCTTTTCAGGACTACCTCCTCCAAGTCAGTGAGCAAAAGCAGCCCCCCACTGCCATCCTTGGAATTCTCCAGATGTGTTGAGTGGCCACACTGTGGTCAGTCCAATGGGACATTGCTTCCCATGGGGCTCAGACCAGCCTTTGGGGCACAGGTCTCATCTGCTCTGCCCAGAGCAACAACAGCGCGTGCTCAGGAAATTCCTGGGAAGGAATGAAGACGTGAATCCACGGCACCCAGGCCTAGCATTCAATTTTAAATCACTGCCTACTGCTTGCTTCTTTCCCCCCAACCCTGCCAAAAAAACTCATCTGACTGGTAGAGCTGAGCGTGATCTAAAATCCTAGAGTGGGCGGGATCTTAGACATGTAATTCCCGGGACCAGTTGCATCAGAATCCCCTGGGAGCCTTTGATGGTGGATGCCTATGCCCGTCGCCAGAACTGCTGAGTCAGCGGTATTGGAGGGAGCCCAGCGTGGCCCTGGTCACTGGAATCCACTGCCTTGGGGAACACCTTGGTCTTGAACTCCTGGGCTCAAGAAATCTGCCTTCTTCAGCCTCTCAAAGTGCTGGGTTTACAGGCATGAGCCACCGCATCCGGCCTATATAAAACCTTAGGAGAGTGATTCTCCACTGGGGTGACTTTGTCCCCCAGAAACTATCTGGCAAAATGTCTGGGCCAGGGATTCTGAACCAGGCACCCCGCAGCTTCTGAGAGCCCCAGAAATTAGATACAATCTGTTGATTACATGTGAGAATGTTTGCTCTCCTGGGTGTCGAGTGGGTGGATCAGATTCTCAGAGGGATGCTGGTCCTTAAATGTTGTTATGAATCTCAGCAAAACCTCATGCTTTACAAGGAGATGAGGCACCTGGCCTTGGTAGAGCTGGGGCTGCCCCCAATCCCGCACGCTGTTCTCCTTGGCTTGTAGACACATTTTCATTCTCCTGATTCCCTCTGGGGAGCCACCCTGACCCCCTCACATCCCTGTGGCTTGGTTGGAACTACCAGGTGTGGATCATAGTCCTGAAAGACCCACCCCCAAATGTCATAATCCCAAGTGCTGAAATCTTGAAAGCTCAAAATCCTATTTTTTTTTTTTTAAAGATGGGGTTTCACCATGTTGGCCAGGCTGGTCATGAACTCCTGACCTCAGGTGATCCGCCCGCCTTGGCCTCCAAAGTGCTTGGATTTCAGGCATGAGCCACCGCGCCCGGCCGAAAGCTCAAAATCTCTAAAGTCTAAATTTCTAATGTCTAAAATCCTGAAACACAATTTCAAAAGATTAATTCCAGGTGTCGAAATCCTGAAAGCCGAATTCTGAGTGATTAGCGTGTTTTCAGTGGTGTGCAGGCTAGTTGCCTCATGTTAGGCGGGAGTATTACCTTGTTATTGTCTTGGAAACTAAATATGGTTTAAGGAGGTGCCTATGGGTGTCAAGTTGGTAATGGGTGGACTTGTGGACTTAATTTTATGTGTCAGCCTGACTGGATGAAAGAGCACCTAGAAACGTGGTGAAGCATTCTTTTGGACACGTCTGTGCAGCTGTCTTCAGAGGAGAGGGCTGAGTCTGAGAGGGTGGGTGGGGAAGCCCTGCCCTGCCCTGTCCTGCCGTCAGTGTTGGTGGGCACTGCGTAATCAGCCAGGGTTCTGGAGAGAACCAATAGAGAAGATGAACTGGTCTCTCTCTGAGGGCTGGGACAGGCTGTGCCTCTGCTGCCTTGCACATCAGCAATGTGACTTCATCAAAGTGCTTATCACAATGCTGACTGTGTGTGAGCATTGCACACATACATGGAAAGTTTAAAACTTGCTCTGTAAATGATGGGATGCCCTCTTTATGCATCTGCATTTGAGAAGGATAAAGTTTCTTGAGAGCTCAGCTCTCCAGATGACTACATATGTGGTGGTGACCCGTCTGGATTTTTTGGTCAATCTCGTCAAAAAACTTAGGTTGTGCTGAGGTGGGAGGATCCTTTGAGCCCAGGAGTTCAAGGCCAGGCTGGGCAACACTGCGAGACCCCGTCTCTGAAAAAAAAAAGTTAGGTTGTCTGTCATGGTATTTCAGATGGCCACAGTTATAAAGCTAGGTTCCCACAATTACCAACCATAGTAGTATGCATTTATACATTTCATTTTTGACCTATTTCTTTATGAAGATGGTTCGTCTGCTCAAAATTGCAATACCTGTGTGACGGTTAGTGTCGCTGAGTGTTTATGCTCGCACTCATAAAATTATGGCCAATTTTATTGTGTATGTTGGCCTACAAAGTGTTCTGTGGTAT